TCTTCTCTCTACAGGTAACCTCAATTCCTACTTTACTACAATGACCTTATTATTAACTTCCCTGCTTTCTACTCCAAAACTTCTGTCTTCACTGTTCTCTTCATCTTCCCTCCAGGTTTAAAGAAGTCTGAGTCCTCTCCTTTATGAGGCTAAGCCCTCCCCTCCCCTAGTTTCATCATCAAGGCCTCCTCCAGAGCCTGATCCATGAAGTACAAATTGTCACTTCCTACACTGTTTCTCCAATCTTCTCTGTCTACTACTACCTTTCTCTCTGCTTCTAAGATACTCAGTAGCTTTTGATTTCCCATCCAAAAAAAGAAAATAGGCTCCTTGGCATATGTTATGTTAACTGTCTCCAAGCTTCTGATCCATTTTGCTCATTCTGTCCACCACCAAACTTCTCAAAAGTAGGGTAAACACTTGCTGCCTCTGCTTTTTCACATTCCATTTGCTCTTTCTCTCACTTTGATCCGGGTTCTGCCCCTGCCCAGCCACCAACACCACCCTCTCAAAGGTCACTAGTGCATTTGCCATGATTTCCAAAGACCTCATCTGATCACTACGTGGGTTCTATGGTTTCTGACACTGTTGGCTACTTCCTCCTCCATTAAATTCACTTCTCATTTGGCTTCCATGACCACATTCTCTCCTTGCTTCCCTCCTTCCTCACTGACCAATCCTCATCTGTCAGTCCTACTTACATTATTGACAATTCACCTGAAAATATAGCTCTGACAGCTCTCAATAAGTGCTCCTCAGTTCAGAAATCTTCAATGGCTCACCACCACCTATAGAAAAGAAAATCATGGAATTATAAAATAATGAAACTATGCACAATACATAATATATAATGTAATAATATATCAGGGGCTTCAAACATTTTTAAGCAGCACAACCCATTAACAAGAATTTTTCTCAGCATCCCAACATTTAAAGAGCATGAAAACAATGTGCTCTTTAAACATGGATCTTATGAAAGTGGGGTGTGGGGAACCCAGGAACTTCTAGGGGTTTCACAACACTATTGAAAAATCACTGAATAAATTAAATTGCTCAGTCTGCAGATGAGAAAACAGGCCAGGAGAGTGGGAAAGCGATTGGTAGGAAGCAGCACAGGATATGAGGCAGTAAATCAACTTACACACTTTCATTAAGTGCCTACCAAGTTCCAGGCACATTCTAGGTGCTTGGGATAAAACACAAACTAGACTAACGTGGTCCTACCCTGGAGGGGCTGACGGCCCAGTAGGGAATTAATCAAGTGTTATAAACAACTACTGAAGTGATTATAAATATGCAAAGAGCTGTGAGAACATGTAGGAAGAGACTCACATGGTCTGAAGGGCAGAGTGGGCCACCCTGGGGAAATCACATATATAACCTGAGCACTAAAGAATAGATAAGTAACTGGTCAAAAAGAAGGAGAAGAGCACTGGTGCAGATGTAACAGCTTAAGTGAAAATTGAAGAGATGAGTTTGACGGCTGGAATCTCAGGAAAGCCCAGCAACTCCTACTCAAAGCCCTGGAGCTGTGTGAGACAGGTTGCAGAAGCAAAAGCCCCAAAGGCCTTGCTGAGTACTTGACGTACTTGACGCCAGCCTCAGAAGTTGTCAGGCCAAGGAAGGGTTCTCAGGTGTTGTGATCTGATCGTTGAATTAGAAGACAATCCACTGCTAAACTCAATGTGGAATGGAATTGTGGGTTGGATTCTGGAACATAAAACAGACATTAGTGGAAAAATGAGAAATCTGAATAAGTTCCATAGTTTAATTAATAGTGTTATATAACATGCTAATTTCTTAGATTTGACAAATGCACAGTGATTATATAAGAAGTTAACATTGGGAAAGCTAGATGAAGGACATATGGAAATGCTGTATCCTCTTGGCAACTCTTCTGTAAATCCAAAATTATTTCAAAATAAAGATATATCTATATCTATATATATCTATATCTATATATATCTTTATATATAGATATATATAATTCTGGCATCATGAAAACTATTTCAAAATAAAGATATATATATCTTTATTTATATATATATATATATATATATATATATATATATATATAATTCTGGCATCATGGCAGAGAGAAGCAAAACTGGATGTGGAGAGAAAGATAAGTAATAATAATGACTAATACCTAAAAAGTTTTTCCTGTACACCAGCCATTGTTCCAAGCATTTAATTTAACCCTGACAACTCCATGAGGTAGATGCTATTATTTCCCCTTATTACACAGATGAGGAATCTAAGCACAAAGAGGTTAAGTCACTTGCCTAAGACTAACACAACTACTGAGTGGAAGAGCTTGGGTTTAAGGATTTGAATCCAAGCAGTGTAGCTCCAGAGTCCTGCGGACTTTGCCATTACATTTTATTCCTTCCATTCAGTGTGCACAGATTATATTGCCAGAGGATATTACAAGGTTCAGGTAGAAATTATGTGTGCATGGCCTAGGGTGATAACAGTAGAAATAGCACAATTATCACTAAACTTAAGATAAATATTGGAAGCAGAATCAAGAGCATTACATTTTAAATTGGAATATGGCAGTTAAAGAAGAGGGAAGAAGCAAGAATGACTCCTAGATTTCCAGCTTAAGAGTAAGGACCAGAACCTAGTCTTCTGACAGTTGGTCCTTGCTTCTTCCTGCCACTGAAGGGAACCCTGTAAATGGTTCACAATCTGTCTGTCCCTTTCTCTTACACATCCCCAGAATGCAAAACAAACTGGACCACCTGCTGTTTCCACATAGGCTCTGACCTCTCTTACCTTCATGTCCTTATACAAGTTGTTCCCTTCACCAAAATTCTCTCCTCCATCTCCCTTGGTTCAAATCTGATCCACACTGCAGGGCTCATTAAAACATTGTCTCTTCCAGAAGCCTCTCCTGCTGTCTACAATGAGAAACACTCACTCTCTCCTTTAGAGGCCACCATGTTTTGGCTCTCTTTGGCAGCAACCTACCACCCTACAATATAGTTATTTGAGGATGGTATTGGCTGTTGCTCACTCTTGTTTCCTCAGCACCTTGCACAGCACATACTTAAAAAGACCCCTGTTTCCTTTCTGAGTAAACATACTACACACACACACACCACCTGGCACCCATAGGGGTGCTCTGCATGTTTTAGGGCCTTATTTTTAAAGATGTTGAGTGGGTTATCAGGCGATCTCATTTACTTTCCTCCATGTTCTCCACCCAACCCATCCCAGGCACTTATACCAACAACCATATGCACCATCTCTGGAAGCCCATTAGCAGATCTAAGAAACCTTACCCAAAGATGGAGAGGTATGAGAGCATGAGCAGAAATGAACAGGCCTTGGTGTACCTGGAACTGCCTCCTCAAACCCATCTACTCAACTCTTACAACATGCCAGGCAGAGTCTGAGACCACAGCAATGAACACAATTCAGCCCCAGCCCTTAATGTACTTAGAGGCCAGTGAGGAAGTACCTGGCTACCAGACTGGCTACCACAAATCATGATTAGGCATTCCCCAGTGTAAAACCCTCCTGCTGGCTGTCTAGAATTCATGTACACTAGGATTTTCTTTTCTCCAAGTCAGGCTCAGGCTGCAACCAAGCATTCTGAGGCCCTACTCATTCAGCTGTTGCTGGCCTTCCTGCCTTTTTTCATGCTTACTGAGCTACCTTGAATCCAGTCTCTTCACTGCCTTCTCTCTTCAGTACATGCCTGTCTGAAATGACTGACTCAGCCCCTGTGGAGACCCCACCACCACCTCCGCACCAAACTGTCTGTCTTCCCCTTTATCCTTCATCTAGACTGAGTGCCTCTAGGACAATGATGGTATCTCTGTATATCCCAGCCTGGTACAGTGTTTGGTAACAAGAATGCATGGTTAGATTTGTTGAAGGTAAATACATGAGTATGGGTGTGTTCCTGTGACTGCAGAATTAAACGATTTCAGCCAGAAACCAAAAGAATGAAAAAGTGGTGTGCCCTGCTTGCCCACCCTCCCACTCTTCCTACTCCCTGGAAGTAGAATTTACATTTTGTGAGGAACAGCCACTTCCCCTCTGCTCCTGCTGGCTGGGCAAAGGGCAGCAATGGGCAAAGGGAGTATCCTCTAGCCAGGTGTCTGGCTAGGGCTAGGTTCTGCTTAGATGTCTATCTGCCTGTCTGTGACTGTCTGCCTGCCTCCTCCTGGGGAAAAGGATGGGGATAGGAGATCCAGAGGCTAAGAGGAGAGGGCAGGCTTCAAACTGCCAAGGGCCTCTAGGGCCTGACACCTTGGCAAGAAGCCAAGCCATCAACACAGGGATGTGGTGGTTGGTGAAGGGGGTGGAGCAGAGAGTGCCTGCCTTGACTAGGACACTGAGGGGATGGACTACTTTCTCAGGAATCCCGCAAATCACTCAAAACAAGTGTCATCAAAGGGAAAAGAGCTCCCTTTAATGCTCTATTTGGGGAGGAGAGGGGTTCAGTTTTTTGGCAAATGAACCCTTGAAGGGTACGGAAATTAGAAAAGACCGAAACCCTCAGTGGTCCATCTCACCCACTACCCCCCACCGCTGGCTTCTCCAGAAGGTTCCTCGTATAGCTGCCTCTTCATTTGGCAACCAGATGATGGAGAGGAGGTCTGGCTCTGGGTTCTAATCCAACTCTGTCACCCTTTGCCCTTGTGCCTCTGGGCAAGTCGCCTTACCCTTTTGGGGGCCTTTGTTTCCTCATCTGTAAAAATGGGGCCAGGACTGAAGTAGAGGTCCTGTGGAAGCCTTTTCGGCTCCTACGTGAATAGATCAGTGTGTCGGCAGACTGCGCGTTTGTCCTTCCTCGGGTCTTAGCTCCACCCCCACCAAGCAGCCCCTTCCCCAGCGCCCGCCGCTAGGGGTCACTGCCTCCCTTTTCAGCGACAGAGGCGCGCGGCTTGTCCTCCTACCGTCTACCGGGCTGAAAGGCTATGGAAGGGGCAACTCCCGAGCCAGTAGGTCTGAACGGGACACCACAACCCTCGCTAAGGATCTGCCTCTGCCTGAAGCCGGATGGTGCTCGCATTCTCGCGGAGGCCGGGCTGGGCGTGGGCCGGCAGCGGAGCAGGGAGGGAGTTAACGTTAACTCCTCCCCTCCCCCTGACATCACTGGACGAGCGAGGGGGAGGCTGGCGCTGGGCGTGTGAGAGAAAGAGCGAGAGGAGGGATCGTGGCTTCACTCTGTGCCCAGGCAGCTCCACAACGTTGCGGATCGCCTCGGCCCGGCAGAACGGCGGTGGAGGCGAGGACACGTGGCGCACCCGCCTGGCTCTCCTCTCGGAGTCTCACAGCCCGAGCAGCCCCGGCTGCCGGCCACTGGGCCGCGAGCCTACTGCCTGGGCCCCGAGCCCACCAAGCCGCCCGCCCTGCCCGCTGCTTGGGCTCGTCCACTCCCCACCCCTCCCCCTCAGAGGACGGTGGGCCATGGACGCCAGCAAGTTGGAGGCGAGCGCGAGGGTGTGAGTGCGCCGGAGCCGGGAGCCCCACGCTGCTGGGCACCCGGGCTTCTAGGGGGTGGGTCCCTCTCTCCAGACCGCTCTGTGTGGAAGAAGAGGGTGGGGAACGGCGCGGGGAGGAGAACAGAGGAGGAAAGGGGGCATGATTTGTGCAACCAGCGACGGGCATCTGCCGAGCCTCTGAGCCACCGGTAACCTAGGGCCTGGATTGCTGCCGTGCTGAGCCCACCCCACCCACCCAGCCGCGGCCAACCGCTGCGGCTTACCTGGATCCTCGAGCGCGCGCCGGCCGCCAAGGGTCTGTCTTCATCTTCCACCTGGTTTCTGGAGCTCGAGGAGCGCTTTCCTCGAGACCCTTCTCGCTGGATCTCCGGCCCCCAATGGCTCGGATGGGGCTAGCGGGTTCCGCTGGACGCTGGTGGGGACTCGCTCTCGGCTTGACTACATTCTTCCTCCCTGGTAAGCGCGTTCTGCCTCTGCCTTTTTATTATTTTTTCCCCATCCAATGGCTCCCTGGGGCGGGAGCTGGATGGCAGGCAGGTCTGAGTTGTAGGGATCGAAAGGAACCAGAAAAGTTGGGTCAAGACTTAGGTAAGAGGCTGGGGAGGGGGGAAAGGCACGGCAGAGAAAGAAGCCAAGTAGCCTGACTCGCAGGGAAGCAGTAGAATGCAAGTCTCTATGTAGCAAGAGAGAGCACCTTCTCCCCTCAGTTTCCCCCCAACACACACTATATATATACTTATATTTATATTTATTTACATTCATGTTTGTGTATATTTATTTATATATAAATAGGATTCTATTTATTTAATAACCCTGCTTGTTATGTAAATGCAAAATAACTACCGCAGTCACCGTCTTGGGGAAAAGAGACAACAGCCCCTGGGGAGAGGGCGTCAGTCTCCGAGCTGGTGGGCTGTAGGTTTGGAGGGTGGCTGGGGTGCTTCGTTTCTTTCTCAGGCCCCTTTGCCAGACTGTTGGATGCTCGGGTCCCTCCAGCACCAAGTCGCCCCACATCTCGGCGTAGAGCCCGCTACTGAGGCACAGGCAGATCTTTGCTCACCTGCGCTTCCCTTCCGGGAGAGTGAGGCCGGATCCACGAGTCAGCTCAACCTCCCAGCCTTGGCGGGGCGGGGCTTCTCCTCGGAACTCCGCCGCCCGTTTGCAGGGGGCTCTCCCCCGAGAATACGCCGCGGGCTTCACGCCAGCCTGGTGGCTGCGTGACCCACTTTCCCGAGGTTGCCCTTCCTTAAAGGGCTGGTGGCTGAGGAGTTCATCGGACGCTCGACCCTTGGGTAGCCTGTCGTGGCCCCTCTGACCAGTAGGATGGGAGCGGAGGCGGGGACCAGTCCCATGGTTTAGTGCTGTAGAATGGACTGGAAAATGTGTTTAGAAGTCCCCTTGCCTGAATTTAACCCTTTGTGTCCCTGAGTAGGCTTCGGGGCTCTCTCAGTAGCTGGCGACACAAATGCTCGTCCTAGACTGCGGGGGCGGGGCGGTTCCTCCAGAAAGAAAGCTGAAACCACCACCCCCACCATCCCCGCTGTAGCTAGGTGGGGGTTTTAGGGGCAGGGTAGGGACTTGGCTGGAGCCCTTGGCCCTGGCCTTAGGGTGGCAGAGTAAAGGGTCGGAGTACAGAGAGATTAGCTCCACTGGGGCAAGAATATGAGATAGTGGGCGCCGTTGGCAGTGACCAGGATGAAATTCCTGCGGTACAGCAGACTCGCCGGGTAGTTTGTTTCCAGGGGCCATCCTGGCTGCAGAGTTTCGGGGCTGGAAGGCAGGAATCTGGCCTCATCACATCTATACCCATCTGCTGCCAGCTCACTGCTTAAGCCTTGAAAATCTCACTCAAGGAATGGTCAATGGTATCTAAAACACTTTGTGGAAGCTGGCACCAGGGTCCCCCCACTCCTGCAGCCTGTAGGTGCTGCCCTGATAGGTGTGTGGGAGAGGGGAAAATTCCAGGGCGTACGGATGGCACCGCACATTTCAAAGCGGCTTGACTGAGTCCCTCCCAATCTGGGTGGTCTCACACTGGGCTCCTTGGGGAGTCGGCAGCAAATTCTTCTGAAGACCGAGGTTTGGGCTTCTGGAAAATCTTCAGTTACATATTGCCCACACCTGGGACCCAGCTAAAGAAGAGCTTTCCTGGAGTTCTAATTGGTCTGGCACACTAGGGGTTAACCTAATTTTGGTTTAGATAAAGGGATGGAAAGGTTTGGGGGAGGGGGAATAATTCAGGCCCATTCTCTCCCCTCCTTTGGTTATTTCTTCCCCTAGCTTTGGGGTACTTAGTGGTTAATTCCTGCTTTGTGGGCCTGGATGCTTCCCCTGCTCCACTTTCCTCAGGAGGCAGAGAGGTGTCACCTGGCTCAAGTATGGACACTCTCCCCACCAAAAATCCAGGTGGAGGGGGAGGTGTACAGGGAAGTAACCACAGCCAGAAAGGCACTTAATAAGAGCTCACTGATTGATTGTAATTGTTATGACTGGGTAGCATCAGTGGCTGCCAAAGTTCCTGGACTCACTATGCTCCTGCACCCAGTGCCTGTGCCCTTGGTGACTCTGAAGGGAGGACCCTTGGATATGGTACTTCCTATCTGACATTTGGACAGATAGGTTCATGGCCCAGAAGTTGCTCCCCACAGTCCCCCTCTCCACCACTCCCAGGCTTCCTCCTGATTGCCTGCTGCTGCTTCTCTCAGGGGACTTGCCAGCCTGATGCTCTTTTCTGGGTTCTCCTGAGCATGAAGGGGTAAGGAGTGGAGCTCACAGAGAGGGTGGGAGTCAGGGAACCTCTGGTGTGTGTGATAGCCCCCTGACTTCAGAACACTCCCAATCTGGCTATTGAAGTGTAAACACAGAAGTGTGTTTTCAGCAACACAGACTTTACCAGGCAGGGTGGTGGGAAGCCCCACAGGACTTGAGATGATAACCTTCCTTTAGTTAGCTCAGAGGAGAGAGCCAGTGAGGCATGGGGGCTATGTCCCAAAAGAGGCACAGAAAAAGCCCAGGGAGAAGGTAGAGAACCTGCCTAAGAAGCAAGTGCAGAGCTGGTGTCCCACCTATACCACACCCTCCCTAATTGGCTTCCCCAAACCTTTTGTCTGGAAAGAAAACACACACCCCAGGTTGTCATGCACACCCTCAAAGACCTGTCTGGCTACAGCAACCATTCTTTGCACCTGTACAGAGCTTGCTGTTACGTTGGCTTCCTTTGAAACTAGGAGTGTCAGGGTTATTGGCTTATTTTCCTCTCTCCCCATTTCTCACAGTGGTATACTTGGCCACTGTCTGACCCAGGACTCAGTTGTATGCTGCCAGGATGGTCTCACAGGCCAGAACACTTGTGCTGATGGCTAAGCCAATGGGCCAGGCTGGGGGGCAGAGGGTAAACCCTAGTTGCTGGGTCTATGATACTGCCATTGTTTAGCAGCTGACTAATGTTCATTGTTCATCACTAACCAAACACCCAAGGGAGGTGTGACTGTACCTTCAATTTTTCCTGATTGTTTCTTTCCTAGTTAATCTGGTAAATTGAATGGCTCCTACTGAGAGAGGGACAAAGAGGGCATCTGTATGTTCACCTGTTTTTCTGATTTTTTTTTCTACTTTGAATGTTAGCCAGTATGCTAGGGTAGAATGTACATTATTAGCCAGCTGTGGGGCTTAGGCTATAACATTTCTGACAGTCTGTGTACAGTCTCACACTCAGTATAGAGTGGGAACATGAACACATGTGCAAAGCTTGTGTGCTTGAGTTAGTTATCTACACCTCATTGTGAATGTGCAGGCCCGTGGGCACTAGGACAAGGAGGTATAAGCACTGGTATCTATGGGTCACTGTGGCCATACATCAAATGTATATTCTCATATAAATGATTTCCTATGTCTTTCCAGCTAGGATTTTGTGAGTGACTCTGAGCCTTAATAATGTCTGCAGTTATCTCAGTGTCAGTGAGAATGATTTTGGGAGGAGACTTAGGATGTGCCTTTAGCCAGCTCCTTCTAACACAAGCTTCCAGGACCTTAAGGAGTAGCAAGCTTTGACACTACTTCCTTTTTGTGCTCTGCCTGCAGCTTTAGATTGGGCCTCTGCATCCTGACAGGAAAATGCTTACCTAGAGAGACTTTTCCCCTCTTGTCAGCCTGCCCGGCAAACAGAGCTCTAGTGGAACCTGGTATCAACTGGAACCTGGCTTGCCCTGAGACTTCTCAGGATCCCTGAATGGCTGAGAGGGACCTCAGGAGATAGGTTTTCAGCTACTAATTTAGCACCTTTGCTTCCTGCATGGATACTTGGAGAAAAGCATCATCTGAGGGGAAATGTGACATACTCTGGACATTTAAAAAGGAGTATAAATGTGGGCCTTGGTCTTCTATGAATAGTCCTGTAGAATCATATGTGTATCTAAGTGGGCAACATACTTGTGCCTGAAAGCATTCCTGGTCCATGCAGCAGAAAGTGGCAGTCCCTTTGTTGGAAAGGGAAGTGGGAATGAGGGCCAAGGAGAAGGAAAGAGAGCTGTCCTGGAAGCCCGTCACCCTGTGTTTATCCACCATGGTGCCCACCCTCTTCATAGAGACCAGGTCTGCAAAGACAGAAGCAGATGTGCTGGCTTGGGCAGGAGGTAACTTAAGATCTGAGCAGGGATCAGCTTGCAAAGGAAATGCCCTGAGTTGAAGATAACACCCCTTAGTCCAGTTAACCCTTTAAACTCTAGATTCTATTGTGCTATTTGGAGTAAGGAGATGGAGAAAGGGAAGAAATAGGAGAAAACACATCTTACCTAATATCCAAACACTGACCCATTCCACAAGGATAGATTAACTCTGCAGCAGGAGAGACCCAAGAAGTATACAAAGAAATACTTCCTGACAGCACAGCAGACTGGAGGCTCTTCAGAGAAATGGATAATTCCAAGGCTTATCCTGAGGTGAAGGAAGAAGCAATAGGTATATGTTCTCAGGGACATATAGCATTTGTACCTTCATAGTCTTCCAGGGCAGAGCAGCAGTGGTCGTGTACACTAATTAAAAGAGAGCAGCAGATAACTTGGTTCCCTCCCTACAACCTGGAGATTATCCTATTTGACTGCCCTGCATAATGAAACTGCAAAGTGGGGCCAGTTGGACTAAGTTTGAATCCCAGAGCTACCAACTGCTAGCAGAGTGGACTTGGTTGAGTCACTTTGTAGGCCTCAAATTCCCATCTGTAAAATGGGTTTCTGTTAATACAGATTTCAAAAGAAGTTTGTGAAGGCTAGATCAACAATAATGTATGAAATGTGCTTAAGCACATCACAAGGCATGTGATAAATGTTCAGTAAGTAGTAGCTACTCCTATTCCCTGTGCCTTTCCTCTGAGTTATCCTGGTCTCCTCTTCAGCTCCCTATCCACTGCTACCTCACTTCCTTTTTCTCCAACCCGGAGCTGTTTTGGGCAGGGTACCCCT